AACAAAATAAATAACTATACTATAGTCATTATTATGTAGTAGGTAGTTATATACTCTAGTTGTTCGTCCGCGACTAGCACTACGTTGTGTATAGCATATATATATATATATATATATATATATATATATATATATGCATCATCATCTGAACCTTATCCCAACTGTTTGGGGTTGTCTGCATGAATCCTATTCCACCATACTGCTCTATCAAGGGCCATACCCTCAGTTAGACCATAAATTACTAGATCTCTTCTCACTTCTTCCATCCATGTTCTTTGGGCCTTCTCCTTTCCCATTTAGAGCCTTTAACTTGAACCAAATCGCTTCTCGTAACTGGTGCTGTATTAAGTCTACGTTGCACTTGGCTAGCGCACCTAGGTCTACTTTCCCTCATCTTATCGTCTGTTGAGCCACCGTTAAGTTCCCTCGGATGTACTCATTTCGAATTCTATCCTTTCTAGTCATGCCACTCGTCAATTTCAACATCTTCATCTTAGCTACACTTATCATATAGATGTGTTGTTTCTTGGCCGCTCCACATTTTGTTCCATAAAGCATGGTTGATCTTACAGTTGGCATATGGAACTTCCTCTTTAGTTTCATTGGTACAGGACGATCACATAAAACTCTGGATGCACATCTCCACTTCGCCCACCTAGCTCAAATTCTATACGCGCACACACACACACACTTGTATTATATACACGTCTTACATAGGATACTCCTACTTGTATCTTGGATTTTGATATGCTGAGTCATATCTCATTCTCTATAGCCGTTTCTGTATCTGTACCTGTATTTGGGCATCTTAGGTTTCGCTGGTGTCGAGAATCATCCCTTCTTTCTGAATATTGAGAAAATCAATAGTAAAAAGCCATAAGAAGTTGAGAACATTTGTGCTAAGAGAATGCCAGCCATGAGGCCTTATGACCATCATCTATTTAGTGATGGGATAGTTGAAAAGATAATTCTTGTTAGCATATGTTTGGATATATTTTAATTAAATTTGGTTCTATGAAATATGTGTACCCTTCCTCGGATATTTTCTACACCTTGACATTCGTATTCTTTGATTATGGGAAAGTGGTTTATAACATTGTCACAACTAGTCATTGCAGTTGCTTATAACCTCGCATTGTTTCTCTTAAAAATAACATTTATATGCTTGTGAAATTATGAATAAATTTCTGATATTTTCAGGATATTCACTTGGCTATATGAAATGCAAAAGATCTTCGCTGTTTTCAAATTTTTCTAATGTTCATGGCTTGGTTGTTTCTTCAGCCATTGTTGTTCTTCAGCCATTGTTGTCTTAGTTATTTCTTCAGCAACTGTTTGGTGTTGTCACATGACCTTATAACTGTTCAATAGGATTTTCGTCATGTCACTTGGACATCAAGATTAGTACGATGCTTATCAGAAAAAAAAGAAAACCGAAGCCGCACCCAGTTTTATGCTAACCGGATTTATTAGTGAGGATGCTTTTTTTTAGGTTTAGAATAATAGTGCATAACTTGTCTTGGTATTTGGTAGGCCCTTCATTAAGCTCTGATGTCTTTCACAATTAATTTTGTTCTCCATGTCTTTATTTTTTTAATATCGTAGGTTTCTCAACAAACTAGCTATTATATTTGGCTTATTGTTTTGTGGCAATTTTTAGGCATCTCTTGGTGGAGCTGTTGGGAATTTGCAAAGAATCAGAGCATTTCTACGGGTTTGTTTGCTATCCTTCTATTGGTTTTGTTCTAAGTAGAAATTTCTCTTTGCTGACCATTTCTCTTCTGATATTGAGGTTCCTTTCTTTTATATTTTATTTTATTGTTCCAGATTCGCTTAAGGGATTATGGAGTACTAGATTTTGATGCAGGTGATACACGCAGGCACCCTCCAATTGATACAACTTGGCAACAGGTTCTTCCCTTTCTTTTATGCATGGTTATTGCAAACTTCTGAATTTGTATTACCTTATTCGGTATCTATAAACTAGTTCCCCAATTTTCCTTTTTTTTGGTCTCTATAGCCTGTTTAGTGGCATTACTCATATTTCATGATCCTTATGTCTTTTATCCATGTATATGAAGTTTTCAAAATCATGTAAAACTGTCTGAAACGTTTTTTTGAGCCATCTTACCCGGACATAATCGCAAATTTTATGTTATCATGACATGGATATCTGTTCAGCATCAATGCATAATCATGACATTTTAGCCATGTATATGGAATTTTTCAAAATTGTGTAAACTGTCCGAAAAGTGTTTTTTAAGCCATCTTATCTAGACATAATCAGAAATTTTATGTTATCATGACATGGATATCTATTCAGCATCAGCGTAGAATCATGACATAAATGTTTTTTAGAAAATTGAACTCTTGGATGGAACGTTGACATTTAGGGCTAAGAATGGTTTGGATCCGAAAAGTATACATGGGATCTGGACTGGATAGGATCTAGAATATTCAAATCTGGATCCGGATCCCAAAAGTATACATGGGGAACTGGATCCCGACCCGATCGGATCCAAAAATATTATTCTATATGTTATCTTATATCTATAAAAATATAAAATAATGTATAACAAAAAAATACTATATAATATATTATATATATATATATATACATAAAATGATATATAATATTTTAATAATTATATCGAATTCAGATCGGATCTACTTGTACCCAGATCTAATTTGAATTCCTATTTAGATCCAAATTTTGGATCCGGATCCAACCCGTTGGATCCAAATGTTGGATCCATACCCGGATTCGGATAGAGTACAAAATTTGGGTTTCGGATCCAAGCCAGGTAAATTCTCAACCCTATCGACATTCTTTTGTTTATAAATATCTGACCTCTTTATGGCCTTGATTTTTATTTCTTCTTGTTAGAAAAACTATCCTTTGATATTTGTAGTGTTAAATGACCATGTACAAAATATGATTGGATATCCTATGTTTGTCCTATGTCCATTCCATCCAATTTACAAGAAAAGGAGTTTTGGATTTGATAGGTGTTGAGAAGCTTTGATTTTACTATCCTTAGATGCAATAGTAACTGGAATTCCTTTAAGAATAAAATCTACAAGGCATTGTGGTCCGACAGTGTTTCTCATTTGATATTCAAGTTTATGTTCTCTTGTCTTTCTCTTTTAAGTAATTTTCACAAGATTTTGAGTACTTGAACCGTTTTGTAATATGTACTGGAATGTGGCTTGAGGTGCCCTCAAATGTAAAGCAGAAGAATATTCCCTCAGGCTTAGGATTTAATTTTAGATTAAACTTTAGACCTTTAGGAAATTTGATGCATGTGCTTCTTTCCATGGGCTTATATCATGTGCTTTCCTTCGACCACTATATATTGTTGTAGCCTTGTGGACTCCCTGCCAATTATGATATTAGAGAGAGAGAGAGAGCTGCTGATTATTAGAGAGAGTGAGGGAGGAAGGGAGGGAGGAAGGAGGGACACTTGTGGTGAAGGCAGTGGTAGTGTGGTGACGATGGCGGTGGTAGTGGTGGCGGGTGTATCTCTCTCTCTTTTCCCACTTCTAATCTTGCTGACCATTTAATCGATGGTACATATCCTTATGGGTCCAAGCTACAGGATGGTTCCATGATATGTGTGACTTTATCCACACACAATTCTTTAGTGGTTCATCATTATTAGAAGTGTCCTGTTATTGACATACACTATGACTTAAATGCATATAATGCAGGTCTTTCAAGTGATTTTTTTAGCTTGTCTCAATTGTGAAAGTGAACTCTAGGAATTTATGTCATTTTACTGATGCTTACCTGGAATTCTTATTCATGATGTCCCATTTCTGGAAAGCAAAATTCTCATCAGCTGGGATGAAAATTCCCATAGACTATGAATAGTAAGAAATACTCATATCTGTGTTATTGTTTATGCTTATCAACTGATAAGAAAAAAGGTTTACTTCCGTATACAACTAGGCCACCTATTTTTGTAATTCTGTAGTAATCTTCCTTGTCCTTGAAACAATGTTAGGAAGCTGCCTCTGCTATTGTAGGTTTTAGGTTTGTATCTGTTTCTTAATTGCCCAAACGAAGTTACCTATTCAAAAATTGAAAGAATTGGAAGCTGATTTTCTTCGATTTCTACATCTATGGATACCCTATATGGCCCACCTGCCTGATACCTATTTGATCTCTCTGTTTGATGCCTATTTGTCCCATCTGCTTGATGTCAATTTGGTCAAAACAGTCTCATTTTGCTTCAATGGAAAAAATTGAAATCGATAATATAGAAGTAGATATAAACTTACAAGTTATGTCATTGTACCCTAGGTTCAGAATTTCAGATATCTGTTTTCGAATGTGTTGCAACAGAAATTTAGTTCATTGGGAAACTTGATATTCATTATTGGCTCTAATTTATTTATTTTTACATATGAATAAAGAAAAAGGCTAGAGATTAATTTGCAAGCTTTATTGAAAATTTGAAATACACTTACCCAAAAAAAGCATTATGGAAGTACGTGGCTTGTGTTAAAACTTGCTTTGAGGTTCATCAACTGCCCTTTCTTCCTGAAATGGAAGCTCTATGCCTAGAAAATTCAAAAGCTTCCTACCAAGTGGGATATGTTTTGTGTTAAAAAACATATATAGAGTAAGGAAAGTCACCCTTTGTACATTGTAGCCCTGGATTTGCTATTTCGCTGTACTGTGAGAAGATCTAGTTTTATTAAACCCACGGTTATTCTTCATTATGCACCTTGAAACCATATGCTACTTACCTGGCTCTGTTAGTTGCCAATTTTATTCTGAACTATGCTATTGTCACTTGTAGTTGTAGGATTCTGTGAGTTCGTTAACTGCGGTTGACCTGGGTGTTATTTCAAGAGTACATGAGCATTTTTCACTTTGATTTCTTAAAATGAGTTTGTTATTTGGGTTTATGATTGTCATGTTCAGAATAAGCAATCTTTGATGTCTCTTCCCGTACTTCTTCCTTCCCCTTTCATGTCTTCATTTCAGCTTTTCTAAGTGGGGTTCTTGTCCATCTTGAATTTTATGAATTTTTGTCTTAACACTGTTATTCTTGTCATTACACCTTTATCCAATGCCATAAAACTTGCAAGTTGAGTCATAAAACTTGCAAGTTGATTCGGACTCACCCGGGTCGGCTTGTCCTGAGACCCTAGTGCGTCTCATGGTTTTCCAGAGTCCCGCAGTTTTCCGGCTTCTTATTGTTTTTTACCTTGTGACTTGGTTGAGTCTTAATGAGATTTGACTGAGTCGAACTGGTCTGATTCAGCCAGGACCCTGGTGAATCCCAAGCTGAGTCTGAAACTTAAAACATGCAATACTGAATATCACTTTCAAACATATATGTTTTTTTATTGTAAAAGAGAATGCATATGCATATTTTGATGCTGTACTGTACATCTATAGGTTTATTTCTGCTTGAGAACTGGTTATTACGATGAGGCGAGGAGTATTGCTCAAACTTCCAGAGTCTCCCACCAGTTTGCTCCACAGGTACACTATTTTTGATTAGTGTATGTTTACCACGTAATCATTCTTTTTCCTTCCTGTCCCTTGAAGTAAAGGCGAACCCTTGAAATTTGTCCCTGAAAATCTAAACAAGTTCGCTTCCTCCCCCCCAATCTTACGTGTTTCTTGTTCGACAGCTTGCGGAATGGATCTTGACTGGAGGTATGGTGTCAGCTGAAACTGCTGCTGCTGCTTCTGATGAATGTGATAAAATGTTGAGAATGCCTGACCGATCTGGGCGAGGTGGGTATGACAAGAAAAAGTTACTCCTTTATGCCATTACATCCGGTAGTCGCCGTCAGATTGATAGGATCCTTAGGGACCATCCATCACTTTTCAATACTATAGAGGACTTCTTGTGGTTCAAACTCTCAGCAGTTCGTGATGTTGAAGGCAGATCCTCTTCTGCTGTTCATAATGAGGGTGTGGTTCCATACAATTTGGATGATCTGCAGGGCTATTTGAACAAGTTTGAGGCATCATACTACACTAAGAATGGCAAAGACCCTTTGGTCTACCCTTATGTATTACTCTTAAGCATTCAACTATTGCCAGCCGTTCAATACTTATCAAAGGAACCTAGTAATGAAGGCTACAGCTTGGATTCTGTTCACATTGCCATTGTGTTGGCTGACCAGGGGATACTTTCTGAAAGTTCAGGGACTCGACATAAGCTTGGAATTATGGATGCCTTTGCAGAGGCCACCAGCATAATTAGGCAGTTTGGTTCCATGTACTTGCGCCAGGACAATCTTTCACTTGCATTGGAATATTATGCACAGGCTGCTGCTGCGATGGGAGGTGGATACTTATCATGGGTTGGGCGCAGTAACATTGATCAACAAAGACAGCGAAGCCTGATGTTGAGACAACTCCTTACAGAGCTTTTGCTTCAGGATGGTGGTATTGCCCTCATGCTTGGGCCACGTGGCGCTGGAGAAGAGGGTGAATTAACAAGATTTATGAACGATAGTAGAGAACGCCAGCAGTTCTTGCTTGAAGCTGCGCGCCAATGTCAAGAAATTGGCCTTTATGACAAAGTAAGTGATGTTTTCTCTTCTCCTGCTACATGGAAATTCACATTTATGCACATGTATTTTTGTTCTATCTCCTGCTATATATATTTAAATGAATGTGAAAACTTAAACCTGAAGAGACTGGAATGCCATGAGACATATAAGGCTGAGAATTTGGTTAGCATTTAAACATATGGAGGTGAGAGCAAAACTATATTAATAAAAAAAATTGCAACCATGAAATGTTGTAAATTATTATTACTAGGGAAGCTTGCTTGAATATGTGAAGTAAGGAAGCTTGCTTGAATATGTAAAGTATCATAGACTATGGCCAAGACATGCATATGAGTGTACGGGTCGACATTGGTTTGGGAAGTTGGATTTCCCATCCCATCAAAAATTGGATTTGCTAATTTGGAAACATTCCGAAATCGTCATGGATATATAGTTAATATGATAAATAAAGAGGCAAAAAGCTCAATTTTCTGACATCTCATTTCATGATAAAGAAATCACAAGGAAAAAGATGTTTATAAGGAAGAAAACCAATTGTGTGCTTTTGTTGTCATCATAATATGACACATATATTTCAAAGCTGACATCTGCCTGGTCAAAACAATAAGGGCAAGTTTGGATGTCAAATAAAAAAACCTTCACATTGAAAAAAATCGTAAGTTTTTCATCCTTAATTAAGAAACATTGCCATCTTCTGACTGTTTGGATGGAGTTAACATACTAAAAGCAAAGTCTCATTCTAACCCTTCCAAAATTCTCTTGCCAATCCAAAAGGTTTTCATGTATCTCTCGCCGCAATAAAAAAACTTTTCTTCCATACAAGAAGCAAACTTGCAACCCAAGCTTCTCCTTATTCATGAAGAGAAGGGGTTTCCCATGGGTGTGGTATGAGAGAAAAGGCTCGCCTTTTGTAGAGAGAGAAAGGCCTTGGCTTTACAAAGACGCTGCCTAGGGCTGACATGGATGGGGCTTGAGCTTTTTTGGTTTTTTGCAACCCGAGCTTCTCCTTATTCATGAGAAGGGGCTTCCCATAGGTGTGGTATAAGAGAAAAGGCTCGCCTTTTGTAGAGAGGGAAAGGGTCTTGGCTTTACAAAGATGCCGCTTAGGGCTGCCATGGATGGGGCTTGAGCTTCTCTGGTTTTTTTAGAGATAGAAAAAGAAAATGCTCTGTTTATCTAGAGAGAGAGTAGATTTGGGGTTTTTGAGGTTGCACAGAGTTGTTGGGTCATTGGTTGAGGTTTGCATGGGGCTGAGAGAGCTGCACTTTCATAAAAAAAATTCAATTCTGACTTGAAATTTTTTTTACGGTAACTTTTGCCTTGACACTGCAGTATTTTTTATTTCAATCTAAAAATTAATAAAATCTTGAGGTTGTCCAAACAGTTCAAATCTGTTTCACAAGATTTTTGAATTGCAATCCAAAAATATTGCAATTTTGGGTACATCCAAACTGGCACTAAATATGGCCATAAGCGTTGGGGGGGTCGATGCGGCTCGATGCGGGACGGATGCGGGTGCATCATGGCGATGCAGTCAATAAATATAAATTTTTTTTAAAAAATATAAAAAAATAGGTTAAGGCATAGAAAAAAATATGGAGGTGATATATGTGATAGTAGGTATTTAGATTATTCATTAACTCCGAAAGTATTAGCTGTCGGAGATTCTGTATCCACTATCCCCTAATAGAAATTAGAAACTTGAAATTAGCTTCATAAAACATTCAACAATCAACAATCATAAGCACAAATCTGCAACCAAAAACTTTAAAGTTACAAATTTTATAAACTCTTTAATCTTGAAAAGAGTCCATGAAGTTCGTCAACTCGATTTGTATACTTTTTATGAACTTTATAAATTTATAAAAATGTTGCAACTTTACGATATTAGAGCATTTATGAAGATCTATAAATTTTATAAACTCATGGATTTGTAACTTTACTGTATTAGTCCATGAAACTCTTTAAAGTTAGGAATTTTATTTGGAAAATAATGGGAAGTTCTTTGATTTGAAACTTTTAATCTTCATTGACTTTTAGTTTGTATTATCTTGTATTACAAATCAAAGAACTTCAACAAATAAAATTTCTGCCTATTGTCTTTTTTGATTCAATTGATCCAATAAAAGCCACGGATGTAGCTGAAAAATGTTGTTTGGGTGGTTTAATACCCCTCCAAACCCTTCCCACCATTTTCAAAGGTCAAAATGGCCTTATTGCCCCTGCCCGGGGGGTACAGTTTTGAAAAAAATAGCGGACAGATTATGCGGCTGATGCAGTCGATGCGGGATGCGGTTCTGATGCGGAGGGATGCGACTCTGATGCAGGCGCATCTCTCCAAACCGCATATGCGGGAAAGTGCGATGCGCTGCGCCTGATGCGGCCGCATTTTAAAACACTGGTTTATATCAATGATATATTCAGGCCTTTGCAAACGAGTAGAAGAATTGGTGTCATTATGTTTGTTAAAAATTGTATGACAACAGTGCCGTACCCAAACAGAAGAATCTTTGTAACAAGATTACAAATGTATCCAATAACCAAAACTTGGCCAGATGTTGATCAGTTGTTACATACTGGCTTGTCATTTTGTCTTTTTCCCTCATAGCATATAACTGTTGACATAACAAATACATTTATTGTAGAAACTAGGTGGTGGGGTTCATGTGCGGATCAAATTGGGTCCTGATTCACCACTGCTTGATGACCATTGGCTTGGTCATTTTCAAAGCCATGCTGTCATATTGGGTGGTTTAAATACTTGAGTGGCATGCTTCTTGTCACTATTGCGAGCTAAATTTTTTTGGTTACGTGTGTGCTCTGTCAACTAGGCTCATATGGACACTGTATTTTATTGTTGGAGTAAAAGGTATCCAATGGCTTGTTTATTTTAATACCCACATTGTGTTGTATGCTGCTCTAGGAATGATCTTTGCAGATCCAGATCATGATAAATCTGATCTTTGAATCATAAAGTACATGAGTTGTATGCTATTTAGAAGCATTTCAAGGGATCATGATGTGATTGTGAAGTCTGATTGTGAATCATATGATCTGGATTGGATGGATTTCTTTTCATTACAAGTCTTTTTCTTTTTTGGGTGGGGGTGGGGTCTGCTGTTCAATTAGGGTTCAGATCATAGTTAAGGGAACCTTGTGGGTTGGGTGCAATCCTGCTCCAGAACCTTGATCCCACAGTTCCTGCAAGGGATCTTGTAGGGACCCCGGTTTTTTGATTTTGAGATCTCGCTCCCATAAAAAGGGGACCGTGTTCCATCCATCAGTGAAATCCAGTTCCATCTCGAAATAGATCCTTGCTCCCATCAACCATGGTTGAAGGTTGTACATTAAAATCTTGGGTTCCATGTTTGTGGGATCTACTTTCATTTATAGATGATACCAATTTACAGATTGCCATTGTCCCAAGTTGCCATTACTTAATAATCATAAGTTTCATGATGGTAAAATCCAATTCCTTTTTCGCATAGTCCAAAGTTCTAATAGATTCTTAATTTGAACTAGGCATAGTCTAGAGTTACCCATTGTTTTATTAAGTCCTATTGTGTAAGCCATCCCTCTTGGTTGTGAGAATATATATTTCATTTAAAATCTTATATTTATGATGTCCTATTGTTTTAGATTCTTAAATCACAATGATGAATCCTCTTTGTTGTGAGATGATGCTTTCATTTCAAGCTTTAAAAACTTCTTTTACATTTGAGAGAGAGAGTAGTTCATCTTGTCCTCTTGCCCCTTCGAAGTGCTAGCTTTTGATAAACAATGGAAGCAGATGAGATTACGTTCAAAGAAGATGACCCTTGAGTGGAAGGATTCTGGATTGCTGGGGACTCTGAGGGAATGGTGCATGCCAAACTTGTGTCATGGCCTGAAGATGTAGTGCGAGGGACAAGCTTTGGTAATGGAGCACTCTGACGAGCCTCATCATCAGCATCAAGGTGGTCACCTAATGCTTCTATTGCCCCGATATCATCCTCGAGGTGGATGAAAATACCATCCTTTGTACTTCTCAGCATAATCTGATTACAGTATGCTTAACAACTTGTCATTTTAGTGAAAGCGTTGAGAATTTAACTTGTTCCACTTAACATTGTGAATATAACTGCACGTAAACAGTTCTCAACACATGATGAGTTGACATTCAGAGACAACACCGTAACAACTAGTGAATATAATATTGGAACCCACCACCATATAGATCCCACCACGAAACAATTGACATTGTTCTTCTATCGGAAATGAGCTTTAATGAGTAGTCAAAACATCGAACCCATTGACATGGTATCTCGCTCCCATAAACCTAAGGATCTCGTTCCTTGTCTTATTCATTGTACGGATGCCGATCCTGACCACAGGAAGCTTCTACTATACGGTTGTTCAGCGAATCTCGAACTGATCCTGCTCCTGTCTTCAACAACTATGGTTCAGATCAAAAAACAACTTCAAAAAATATTTTATTTGGCAATAAGATATTATAGGGATATGGTTGTCTTATGGATGCATACCTTGAGGACGTCAAACGAGTTAGCCTATCTCCTGGCAAAGGACGGGGCTAGGGCCCAAGTTGAAGACCAAACCCGGTCAATCTCTATTTTTGCTTTGGACCACAGAGGGTACACGCAACAATAGATCTCTTTGTAAAGGGGTAAACTTATAAGCCCATTTTTTGTAATCTCATTGTAAATTTATTGTAATCAGGCAAATCTATAAGCCCATTTTGTATAGGTGTGACTGACATATTTTCTACTGAGAGCCCCATCTAAGGGGGACTCTCGGATTTATACCAATATGTACTCGAACTCTTTATAGCAATACAAATGTTAACTTTTATCAAAAAAAAAGAAGATGATATTATAATGTACTGCACATGTGACTGCATTTGTTGCCACACCCTATAACAGCGTGATATATAATATCAAATTAAACTATAAGGATTGTGACAGAGGAAATGTAGAGATGCAGGAAGGTGTGATAGAGAGGATTATGAAAGA